ATACAGTTAATTTTACTCCTGTGTATTCCATCTGGTAAGGTCCATATGTATAGTCTCTATATATGTTGTTGAAAGAAGGTATTTGCAATGTAGAAACCATTGGTCTTGAAAAATTCTATCATGCAATCTCCAGCATCATTTCTATCACCAAGGCCATATTTTCCAGCTACAGATCCTTCCTGTTTGTTTCCAGCTTTTGCATTCCAATTGCCAGTAATTATCCATGCATCTTGATTATAATTGTGATCAATTTTAGACTGAAATAGTTTGTAGAATCTTCCTTTCATCATTATTAGCGTTAGTGATTGGTTCATAAATTTGAACAATAGTGGTATTAACTAGTTTTCCTTGTTGGTGAATGAATACTATCCTATCACAGATAGGCTTGTACTTCAAGATGATCTTGAAATGTTCTTTTTGAAGATGAATGCTGAACCATTTTTCTTCAGTTTGTCCTTCCTGGCATAGTAAACTATATGATTGTTCAATTCAAAATGCCAATACCAGTCCATTTCGGCTCACCATTACCTAGGGTGTGGATCTTTTATGCATTTCATTTTATTTTTGACAGTTTCCAATTTTCCTAGATTCATATATTCTACATTCCAATTGTTACTGGATGTTTTCAGTTGTTTCCTTCCATTTTGAACTGTGCTATGTAAGCAAATGAAGGTCTTGAAAACTTTGCTCCATCCACGTCATCAGGTCAACTCTCCTTTGCAGTGTCAGCTCATCCCGTCGTATCTTGAATGCCTTCCAATCTGAGGGGCTTATCTTCTGGCATTATATCAGACAACGTTCAACTATTAGTCAGAAGATTTTCAGTAGCTCACCATTCAGAAGTACTTCAGACAAGTAGAAACTGAGCCTGTTTGCTACCAACAGACTCATCACTACTGGAAGTTTATCTGTGAACATGACCTTGTTTGGATATAGTCTTTCTTTGAAAATATTACTAGTTATATTAATAAGGTTATACAGGAATTGGAGTGAATGTTTTAACTGTTTCAGATCTACCTGCCTTCTTCCATTGTATGATTATTATTTTTTAGGATAGGAAGACGACTTATCCTGTGGTCCACAAGCATTGGCAAATTTTTGTTTGGCATAGCAGTGGCATTCACCTTTGATTATTACAGCTTCATGGCTGCACGCTTTCTCCTTGCCATGGTGAGTTGTATTTTTTTACTTCTAATTCAGCAGCATTTCCATCTTAAGCCATAGCTCTCTTTGGTTTGCTCATTTAAAATCTAGTGAGAGAGAACAAGTGCTAACCCTGGTTCACTTCACTGCAGAAGTCAACTTTGCAGTTATGTTTTGTTTGACTGGCACCTGGCTTATTTCCCATAATTGTTGTTGTTGTTAAGTGCCGTTGAGTCAATTCTGACTCATAGCAACCCTGTATAGGGTTTCTGAAGAGCAACTTGTGAGTTTGAGCTGCTGACCTTGCAGTTCAAACCGACCTTGCAGTCTAGTGCATTAACCCACAGTGCCACAAGGCATTATTTTCTTTCTGAGCAATTATATTGATTTAGTCAGACCCCAGATACATGAGCCAAAAAAGTGGTTAAGGTGTATTGCTGAAGTCATTTGTGCAATGCTAGTAAGAATGAAAATAAGAGGACATTAGACCTTTATGAGGAGGAAGAGAGCCTGAGTTTGAATACCAGCTTTGTTATAGATTGACATGTTAGCTATGACCTCAGGCAAATGCTCTTTGTGTCTTAATTTCTCATATGTGAACTGTTGACAATAAAACGTCCTTCATGGGCTTGTTATCAGGATTCAGTGCGATTGAATGTAAACATGCACAGCACAGCACCTGGTATAGAGTAGACTCTGCTCACCGTGGTAACTATTACTGAAAATGGACCAGTGAGCAAGAAAGCTGTCTGCATACTTGGCAAGACTTCCAGACAGGTCTTCAAGCTACCAAACAACAACAGCAGTGATTCTGTTTGGAGGCTGCTAATCAGTGATAATTGAGTGAAGTTTTCATCTTGTGATCACGCTGAATACAAAGGAGGAAATGCATGTGAGCCCCTCTAACCAGGTGTGGTGCTGTAGGATAAGCACTGGACCACAATGTCGGTTTGAATCTCAAGGCCAGCAGTTCAAACCCTACAGGTTGTTATGAGTTAAAACCGACTCCACGGCACTTAACACCAACATACAGGGTGGGTGATCTGAAGGTCAAGTGAGAAGATTAGGATTTAAATCTAAGAAGTTATGAGAGCCTCCTCAGCAAGATTTGGTGTGTTCAGTTTGGAAGTCTTTATTTATGGGTGGAAAGCATTTGTAGGAAGCTACATGTCCTTCCTACAGTTAAAAAAAAAAAAAAAGGATCTAGAGGAATTAAAGGTGTTGATCTTTGGACAAAGTAAAAAATATATAGATAGATATGTGAAAACAGAATAAGAGAAAAAGGGTCTGTAACTACAGAATGAGATTTGGCAAGAGAGATCTTCGGGTGTATCAGATGGTTCACAGCCATAAGCACTGAGAGAGTTTGAAGGCCTTTTTCTGCACATCTTAGAGGATAATTCTAAAAATATCTGCTTCAGCCTTAAAAAATGTCATGTGTTGGTTTCCAGTGCCAAGAAAATTAGGCACCTCTAGAATACATATCTGGAATGTAGGCTTCATTTTCTGTGGTTCTTGCCTTTGATTTTCATGGGAAATGTATTTGTGGTAGAATTCTGAGTATGAAAGATGCAGACAGATTCATTTGTTCAATACATTATTGATTTGCCTACAGAGTGCAATGCTAAGTAAAACAAACCCAGATTCTGTTCAATAATCCTGCCATCTAGTGGGAAGGCAAGAAGACATCAGCCATTCTCAAAAAGAAATGCAATTGTAATAATGAGAGTGTGATAGTGTGTGGGATATCCTCACGGGGTCTCATGGGTTGGGGGCATTTTAGTTCAAAGTTATGGGTAAGAGAATATCCCAGCTAGAGGGAGCAGCAGGTGAGCAGGCTCTGAGTTGAGAAAGAATCAAAGGTCAGAATGTTTGGAGACTAGATAAGAAGTGGAGGTCCCCCACCCCCTCCATACAGAGAGTAGACAAGGATGGGCAACTTGGACATTGGTTACCCAAAAT